GCATCATCGAAGAGTCCCGGTGGTGATATGGCAATGGTCGATGATGGCGAAGCTGTGGAAAAAGAATATCCATCTGAAGATGTGATCATGGCTACTGAAGAATCTGTCCCTATTTCCAATGATAGCCAGAACGAAACGCCGTCAAACCTTCCGTATACTCCACTTCCAGCTAAATCCACCGCTGAAAACCTACCATGGCATCCAGTTCTCGAAAGCGTTATGGAAAAAATCAAAATCACAATGCCAAGAAGCACATGGGAGGTTGTTGGTCTTCCATTCTTTGTAACGTTTTGGCAACTGTCACTGTATGACATTCATGTTCCTCAACGCGCTTACGAAGAGGAACTGGAACGTCTCAAGAAAAGGATCCAGGCTATCTCCCAAGACAGGTCCGATGTTAGCGTTGCTGGTACTTTGAAAAAGGAGAAAGAAAAAAAACAAATTAACGACCTCCACGACCGAATTCTAGCGGAGAACAAGACCCATCTTAGATGTTACGGTTTAAATCGTGCAAGATTACAGAAAGAAAAGGACCGGTGGTTTGTTGGATTGAGAGGGAAACACGAAGCCCTCAACATTGCGGTCATGGAACAGTGTCTATTACCTCGACTACTTCTCTCCCCTATTGACGCTTTCTACAGTTTCAAGATGCTCAAATACCTACACTCCTCAGGAACACCCAATTTCCGAACGGTGGGATTCCTTGACCAATTGTTTCGCGAGCAGCGTTTGACTGCAATAATTTTCCATTGTACATCTAAGGAAGCTGACAATTTTGGTCGTTTCCTCAACGAGATACTGCGTGATTTAACTCGATGGCATGCCGACAAGGCTGTCTACGAGAAGGAAGCGTACGGGCCTAAAAGGGACCTCCCAGGATTCGCCATGGCTGTGGACCAAGAGGGAAAGCCGAAGTCTTTTTTGGACTATGAGAATTTCCGTCGAATTTTGTACAAGTGGCACCGCATTTTTGGCGCTTGCTTAAAGACCTGTCTTTCAGGAGGCGAATATATGCATATCCGCAATGCCATCAGCGTATTGAAGGCCGTGGTCCAACATTTCCCTGCAGTTAACTGGATTGGCCGAGATATGCATACTTGTGTTAACAACCTGAAAACCATGGATCCACGTGACGATGTCAAAATTCCAGCTGCTTCATTGATTGGGGATTTGAATAGAAGGGAAAAGAAGTGGTTACTTCCACAAGCGTTCATGATTGTGAGTCTACCTGCGAAAATTATGGAGGACAGAGCTAATTCGCCAAAGAATGAATCATTACCGGGTGACAAGGCCAAAGTACGGACACCGCAGCCCCCGTCAACTACTCCCAAACCACTTAATGCTTCAGCTCCTGACTTTAAACCATCTGAGACGTCAGCCACGTGAGTCGATACAAACTTTGCCCCTCCCGATGAAATGGGACTTATTTCTGATGATACTTAGGGTAAATGGTGCGAAGCCTTCAGGGCCCGGGAAATCAGAGGTTGAAGATGGCGAGATTCAAGACGCGAAAATGTCAGAAGCTAGAATGAACGATGCAGCCACAAAACAAGAACTGACAAAGGATGACACCCAATTGCAACAAATACCTGACACCTCTAGCACCGGAGAACGCGCCGCTCCAAGTACAACGGCGCGAACAGAACAGAGTGAAACTCACGCGGCAACACAAGAAGCGCAGCCAGCGAAACCAGTGAAGCCTGCGGAGTCTGCAACGGCTTCTACACAACTCCCTTCACAGCCCCCCGTGGCCACTCTTGCGCCCCCAGCAGATACACAATCCCTTGGTTCGGGTCGTGGTTCATCCTCACCTGCACCGTCACGAGTAGTTAGTAAATCACCTTCTGAAACACCCCACCCGCCAGGCATCCCAAAACGTCCGGATGTAGATCGACACCTTTCTCAGTCTGGCCCTACCGTCCGCCCTCTCCCTAACCGACCGGAACCTCCTCGATCATTTAAACATTCTGATGAGCGAACTGCCATGAGGCCACCCAGCCTTCCAGAAGAACGAAGAGATTCTAGAGACAATAGACATCCAGATCGCCTTGGACGATTTGGTGGACCGGATCGCGAGAAGCTGTTTGATCATTCCTTCCCTAACGATCCCCGAGGCCATGCTCGCCAAAATGACCGGATTGGGGATAGAGATAGGCTTGATGGCCCTCGGATGGAGAGAGATTTTCCTCCACGGCCCTCCGAAGATCATCTTGGACGTCCAAGCTACAGAGACCCGCACGCCTCTCCAAGAGATCAGGAATGGCCTGACAGGACGAACAGAGCGAGGTTGCCCCAAGCAGACGCCTTCCAAGCTCGGCATGAATCAGAGCGCCTTTTTAGAGATGGCGATATACATCAATATCGACCTTCTAATGTTTCAGAATCTCACGATCGAGACCATCCTCCACGCTTGTCTTACCCTGAACCCCCATCTCACCAGCGACATGAGCCTCCAAGACCTGAACGGGACGATACAAGAAGCTATGGCTCACAACCTCCTAGCCCTACCACAGTTGAGGACTCCAATCCTCCTAATAGACCTGAGAAGCGAAATGAGCGTGAAGAGAAGAAACTTGCGAATCTTAATGCTCACCCATTATCACGCTCAGAGGATCTCCCAACGGGGCCAAGAGGAGACAGATCCACTCATCCCTCAGCGGGTGATAACCGTCATGGCCAAGACTCGCGATCATCGTACCCGCCACTAACGTCAGACTCGTCCTATGGCAGGTTGAATCAAGATTCGAGATTTCCCTCACGCTCGAAGGAGCAGTTTGAGAGGCTTCAAGATATCCCGTCAGGCCCAAGGAGAAATCCTTCCCAGCGTGGTGGGAGAAACGCTCCGTTGTTGCAGCCTCTTCCAATTAAGCCACAGGCTTCGGACCGCCAGCCACCCACAGGACCATCTCACCGACTACCCACGCGGAATCCTCCCCATCAGGATCAGCAGTCCGCCTCAACTTCGTCATCTGCGCCTGCTCCCCTGGACAATGTTGACACGTCCGGCATTCATCCTGACCGCCTAAAAGCACTACAAGCTCCCGGGGACGATGGAACTCAACCGTCTTCGCCTCCATCAACCTTACCACCTTCCGGTCCTCGGGGTGGTGGCCATCAACATTCTGTCCCTCCGACAACCACTCGAGGCGCACCTGGACCTTCATTTCCAGGAGAGAGGGGGCGGGCAGATAAACGATTTGCAGGCTTGAGTAGCATGCTTCAGCAATTTGGGGGTGCAGCAGATAAACCCGGGATGGGGACTTCAATAAGGGGAAGAGGCGCGAATCGCGCTGGTAGCAATTCAATCAATGCTCCATCACCTCAATCTACCAGACCGCAAACTCCAGTTGGAGGGAAGGCTGAAAATTATTCTGGTTCGACCACTTTCCTCCAGGAACGCCAAGGCCAGAGCTTTTCCCTGGTCGCTCTGGCATCGGACAGACACTCACCCACAAGAAGAAGCTCGTGGACTTACTCGAGCTGGCCGGAGAGCTGAAATTATAGAGAAGGCGGCAACAGAGTCACGACGATCCCCCTCATCACTCCAGTGGTACTCATACTCCAGATCGGGAAAGAGATCGTGAACGGGACCGTGAGAGAGAACGCCAAAGAGACAGGGACCGGCAATACCGAGATCGGGACCGAGAGCGCGACTCCAGTCGTAGAGGTGAAGAGGAAAGTGTGAGGCCCAGTGCTAAACGGGATGAGTATCGAGAACGCCATCGAGACGGGGATCGTGACCGTGATAGAGGTCGGGCAACAGAAACCAGCACTAGGGACCAAGCTCGCAACTCACGAGAATCCTCATCGCGAAGAGCTGCGCAGAGCTCGAGCACAAACAGGGAGCCTGTCTCCGCTACCAGGCGAAGGGACAAGCGAGAACGTGAAGAGGGGCCCCAAGAGAGCCACAGCCGTGTCAGTAATTCTGACCTTTCCCCGCTGCCACCTCCACCGCCTCCCCCACCGCCTCCAAGCGATCAGGAAGGCCGCAGATGGAGTAGTGGTGGTCGAGGTGACGATCGCAATAGAGATCGTGAGCGGGACCGGGACCGGGACCACGATCGCGATCGAGATCGAGATCGAGAGCGTCGAGATGTGGGTAGCGGTCGTGGAGGTAATGGTGGTGGGACAGGCAACAACAGCAACAATGGAGGCACTTGGCCCAGGAAACGCGGAAGACCCGCTGTCCACAGCATGGATGGCCGATCCAACGTTGCCGGTTCCGCGAGAAATGGAGCTGAAAATAAAAGACCCAGACGCGGCCATTGATTGATTTTGTGTTTTCAAGCGACTGGATTATTTAGTTACTTGCCAACGTCTTTGTATTTTGTATCATTACATTTTATCACGTTCCCTACTATACGAGCACTCACAATTTTCTGTTCCTATTTCAGAGTCAGAGATAGGTGTCATTAAAAACTTTATCTTTGTGTCTCAAGAGTCATTTTGGTGGTATTAGAGTGGTATATGAACATTACCAAAAATTTTCATTGTTTATTGACTCATTGGATCTCGAATTATGTTGCTCTCTTTTAAATATCCTCCCCATCCGCATGTGCCGTGTTTTTTCCCGGTTCCCCTGCAACTGGCATGTTCCGGCGATACATCATCATTTTCCTTGATCATCTCTACTAGCTCTAGTCTTCGAAAAGTACAATCTTCCCTCGTTTCTTTCGTAATTACTTATTTTTTGCCAAGTAGGGATGGATGGTATTTCTGGTGCGGCGATTCTACTGACGAAATGTCTTGTTTTGGCCCGCTTGAAGGGCTATATTGTATTTGAGGTGTGTTAAACTCCAAAATAAGGCATCCGCTTCTAGGATGAAAGCGTATTACCCAGCGCAAGCATGGGTGGAGCATAAAGGTGTTGGAATTCGCCTGATAGTTGGATGGGTTGGGTTAATATGTTAATATAGTTCAAGAATACGTCGTGCGAAAAATAAGAATATGAATTCCTGGGTAGAGAGACAAGGGATTCGTCGGCGTAGTTCGCCAGATGAAAGGGTAGACGAAAAAGGCCCCCCAACTTCAGAAAAAATCCTGGTATAGTATGTTACAGGTTGTGAAAAAAAAAAAAAAAAAAAAAAAAAAAAAAAAAAAAAAAATTCAGGAAAAACTGTCTATGAACAATATTGCTCGCCAAAAAGATGAATATAAAATTGTATCACCGCAGAATCAATGCAGGGGTATATACAACTGACTAACAAAAGGATAATATGCTGCCCAAGGTGATGATGGCTGGTAAGGGGGTTTGTTTCCTGGTTTTATCCAGGCAAAATAAGCAAGGAAAGAGGACAACATCCTCGGAGCACTTCGATACACTAAACCTCAGCAGCTACCTCGTCTCCACGACAGCACTGAAGCCAAGAACGTTATTCACTTTGGGGATGGACTTCTTTTTTCCGAGAGCCATGCTCGACAATTTCCTCACTAGCGTATACTTTGTCTGCTGGTCCCATAGAAGTTGAGCCCGCTCGTCCAAATTGGCATCTGCGGGTTTGTCTAATTGCTGCCCGTTGGCGCAAACCACAGCACAGGTTGGCGACATGGGCCGGATTGGGGTATTTGAGTCAAGGGCCACTGCAGCTCTATCTGTTATCGGTGCCGGAACGGTACGTCTGCCAGTCATTTTTTCCATGACTGCACGTTGAAGGTCCAAACGACGTTGTCTTTCCTCGTCTGCACTCATCTCTTTTTCCAGCCCGTTTTCGTCGATTATTGTTTTCCCGCCAGTGGATCGCGAGTTCCATGATTGTGAATGAGGAAGAGGTTTTATAAATAGATCTCCGTCATCTTGATTATTCCAGATTGGGGGTAAATCGGTATCAGTTATGTATGTTTGTTTGGTGTGGGTTTCTGTTTGGTACTCGTTGCTTTCCATCAACAAGCTAGAAAGGCTGTCGGATTCTTCTGCCTGGGATTCGTGCGGCGACATATTCCATTCTTTGGAGGAAGTTATAGGGTGACACCCTTCATTGATAGGATCGTGTATAATTGCACTCCGTAGCCACGTATCTATCTGCTCCGTTTCAGTCGGGGTACCTTCAATCGCCCAAATATCCGTCACCATGTCATTTGAAGATGAGACACTATATGGAGATGTCTTGTTTCTTTGAAACATCGAATCCTCCCAATGTTCTGCAAGCGGGTTGGTAACAGTTTCGCGAAAGGGGTATTTCCCACTGCCGGATGGACTTCGGAATTTCGATTCATATTTGGGCAACGATATCTTGCCCACGTCTTCATCAGCAAGTAGCCAGGACGCTTGTTTGTACTCAAACACATCCACGAAGCAGTCATGTGATATTTCCTGTTTCTCTTCCAGGTCTATGATCACATCGAATTTGCTTTTGTTCTCCAGATCTGAAGTGCCATTCTTGTTCTCATTTGATAGATGGGGTTCCTCATTATTGACACTTGAAGCGATATGATTCGGGATAGCAAACGATGGGATCTTCAAGTCCAGGAAGCGAGAACCCGAGATATTCGCATTTGCCGGGTCAGCGCAAGTATCAAATTCGGTCCATCTGTCAGGACATTCAATTTTCCTGGAGAGCAAGAGGCATGCTTTCTGTAACTGCCGTTCTGTCGTAGGAGTTAGGTATTGTCGATCGATTAAAGGCGACCGTGGTCTTGAGCTAGCAACTGGATTGCCGATATCATAATATCGGTTCTGATCCTCTACATCCTCGCGGGCTCTCTGAGGCGCTCGCTTCTACAGTATGTTACTACAGGAAGATTGGGCCTGGAGTGATGTGTAGCGAGGATTAAGAGGGGACAAACAAGAATGAACAAGAAACGTACATTAGTAATGAAATTGGAAAATTGCCGTATCATGATGGAATGCGCCCAGGCAATCGACGACACAGTTTCACAAGGGGCTCGATTTGCAGAAGTTGCTTAGCTCGGAAGCCTTTGTTTCTTGATATGGTTCAAGGAAACCTAGTCTCTCCTCATTCCTGATGAGAATGAGCGATTAAGGTATATCAAATCTTGCATTCTCTAAACGAAAGAAGACAGCAAGAATCACAGACGTCAGGAGGCAGCAAACCTGTTCAGTTATGTCTTGGTATGATCCGATGCATGACCGTCCTGTCGAGAGAAAGTCCACTCGCAAGAGATGAGAGAGAACTTTGGTGTGAAAGCTGAGAAATATGTGAGATTATTGCTTCAAGGGGTCAGAATCCCGGGGCCAAATATGGTGACATCCGCAGGGATTGTGTAACCAATATTAAATGGCGTTTGGATGAATAAGGGCTGCTCCGAGTAATTTCATCTGATTATTGAGGTAACCGATTACCAATGAATAACTAAACAGGAGCTGGTCAAGATGTGATTGACACTGTGGGATATGATCGGAGAGAAATGACTTCGAAGCTTTATTTTCCTTCAACCAGTGCACCGGGAGATGTAAGAGGCATCCAAAACGGCAAAAATTTTGTCTCGCACTCGCAGCAATGGCCATGATAAATCCAGAGAGTGTGTTCATTTTGTTTATCCCGCAGGCCCCCATATTTTATGCCCAATCCAACGTCAACTATAAGCCATTATAAACTAGCTTTGGTTTCGTATATCCTGAAACAGCAACATAAAACTCACCCACAACCCCTGGACCAAACTGCTCCACACAGCTGTCATGAAACAAGCAGGAGAAAAATTGGCCCGTTGGTCATGCTGTCCAATCAGTACGGAAAATGGAGATGAGTGGCATGGATGATTTTTCTGCCCCAAGGAGATCAATATGGCGGAAGCTAGAGCCTTCGAAACCAGTGGCTACTGTTGATATTTCTGTGGGAATAAAAAGGATATGCTCATCTCCTGGTGCTTTCGAACTACTACTCAACTTGACATGATTGCGCAAACCCAGCCTCCCCACATATCCAGGTTTTGACGGCCAGCGGAGGTGCCCGCCCAAACTCGCATTTGCGCCACCGAATGACACTCCAGATTGTTGCGTGGAAAACCGTTCTTGGCGGGCGGCGAAAGTTAGAACTGAACTTGTGGGGAGAATAGTCGGCAATCCCCAAAGAGCCCTGTCCTGGTGTGATTTCATCATCAGCTATGAGGCAGAGTCCCTTCAATTGTGGAAAATGCCGCCATTCTTGTGAAACTTCAGACGCTACTGAGTTTCTTCATCGTGAATCCAATCGACCCAGGCTTCAACCATATGTCTCTTAGAGATGATCATGGACGCCCCATTTATTTATCGTTTTAACAGTGTCATTTATTTCCCTTGTACTCCGGTTATTTTGGTAAGAATTGGAGATGGAGATCTGTTATGGCATTTGAACAACGGGATTAGTGGTATTTCAGAGTGGCGGTAGCTATCCGCTGAATGCTTACGCAGTAAAAGTGACTGGTGTACGCGTACTTGCTCACCAGGCAAATACAGCATCGACGATGAGGGCATCAACAGTGACGATATCATGTCATATATTCCATGGTTTCGTCGTAACTAGTTTATCACAACTCAGCGTGCGTGGCGCTTTTCCGGCTGTTGCGTTTGAAAATGTTCATTGAGGCATATTTCAAATCCATATAGGGGAATGTATCCATCTCCGTAATGCCAACCAGGCTTCGCAATATCTACCCTAACCCCATAAGCCCTCTCAGCAACGGCTACGGTATTCATATCAACCTTCACAATCCGTATCCCATTCTCAGGACCTCAAAACTACTCAAGAAATGGAAATGCCACTTGGCTCAACTCTATATAGCCTTCTTCCGACAGACTCCCAGCGTTGCAGGATGCGATGGCGCAGGTATTTTCATGAATGTACTGTACATTCAGTACCTTCATTACATTTACGTGCTTCGATTGTTATTTCTGTGTTCAACCAAAAGCCGGGTATGATTATTATCCGTGCCCCCTGGCAGGTCACAGCACGGAACGCTTCCGGAAAAGTCACAAGTCTCACCTGGCCTAAGGGTGTTTTGATGACACTATAGCGGCTGCTGCCCTGCGGTTCATGAGTTGCTGGTCTTTTGTTAGCAAAGGTCCCGGAGGAGATAGAGATATCCACGCTCCGGCAGCCATAGTTTGACTTTTATATAATCACAGCAATTCGCCGGCGTGTGATATAATCGGGGAAAGTTCAATAAGTCGCCTCCACCGAGGGAGGTCTCGATATCTCACGTGCCGTTTTCGGATCAGTGAGTTTGGATCCGTCGTGACGAGTGTGCCAGGCTGATGCCCAAAGCTTTTGGATCCTAGTCCCACGCTTTTGAAGCGAGGCGAGACAAATGCGGGACAATCAGTTACCAGACCTGTTAGGTGGTACTCCGGCAAGGCCACAAGAGAAACTCCTTGACCCCCTGCATTTCGGATATGAGGTACTACTACATTGAAATTATGCGCTGGGTCAAGAGGTAATATAAGTAGGGCGATGCTGGTAAGTGTTTGGCTGGCTCAAGAGTGATGTTGTAAACTCGATTATCCATTATCTAGGGGTTCGCTGGAACCAATTCCACGCTCATGGCCGGCTTGAATACTAGTTATTAGATCCACGAAATATGCAGCGCAATTTAGAAGGGAGAAAAGCTGACAGTTTTTATTCAACACAAGTGGGGTTGTTGTCAGTGCTGCTATCCAGTGGCGTTTTATGTCGAACCCGTTGATTCGAAGCTCACTGAATGAAAGTTAGCTTTTCCTTTTTTCCCCCCCCATCATTGTTCTTCCAGTATGATGGATAGATTCTTCAGTTCTGTTATGTCACAGGGCTCACAGATGCCTATGAGCTCTGAAGAGTATGGGTTGCTGAGCAACTGATAGTTGCTGGGTGTGTTTGAGCTTATTTGATCAGGTTGTCAACCGTCGGAGGGCTGAAGGTATGGTAAAGAGTATCTTAGTGACGATCAGTTAGTTGTAATCAGTACATTCATGTAAATTAATGTTAAAAAGATATATACTCTTAATATTCGTTTTTGTATCGCACAAAGAATTCACAAGTGTAATAGAAGTGCAGTTTCTATAGTGTAACGTACGTTTCCACCCAACGCTCGCCTTTGTAAATCAATTACAATCAACTTCAAATGCTAATATCTCAATGAATATTCATTCAAAACTATTCTAAAAAAGATAACAATAATTTATAGATATATATTATATTATATTATATTTTTATAAGAAAAAAAATATAGAATTATTAATTTATTAAACTTTTTGAAATACTATTTTAAAATAAAATACACAGTCTATATTTATAAATATATTTATAAATATTGATTATTATTATTCTTCTTCTTCTTCTTCTTCCGTTATACTCGTATGCAAGCAGTGCTTATGACGAGTCCTTGTGTAATGTTAAATATATTAGGCCACCTAGGGCAAAAGAGCTCAATCACCACCAGCGCCGTGGTGGTATAGAGGGTACGAATCACCCAATCCAATCCCCCCAACAAAATACAGGCAAGAGTTGGTTATAGGAGGAATGCTTAGTGTTGAATGACGCCAAGAATATAACAGGAACATAGGAAAATTAATGAAAGACAGGATTTGGTACTCGCGATACAGGTTTCCAGCCCAGAAACAATAAGCTAAATCAGGTGGTAGGTCCGCCCGAAGGTACCTACTTGGCAAGTTCACATCCCTTTATTTTATTAGAAGCTGAGAAGTTGGCTCTGTAATGTTGTCCCCTTGGGGGTTTCGAACCCACGCGCCTTGGGTCCCCACGCCAAGGCGCTACCTGGTGGCCGCATTACCGGCCACCGGGGCTATAAATATTGATTATTTCTACAGAATATATTAAAATTAAATATTTTATAGATTTTAAATATTTTTAATAGAATATAAAATTTTATTTAAAAATTTTTATTTAGTATTTATTCATTTAGAATTTTATACAATAATATATATTTTAAAATATTATTTTTGTAATAACTGTGTATTATTTATACTTTAAAAATGTAATTTAAATAAATTATTATATTAAATTATTTAAATATATTTATATTTAATAAATTATTTTTTAAAATTTAAAATTTCAAGAATTTTCAATATTTTACTTGTAATTTATATAAAAAATTATAATAAAAAAATAAAAAAATATTTAAAAATTAAAATATAGAATTTTTATATAAAATAATTTAATATTTATTAAATTATAATATATTTATATAAGAATTATAATTTTTAATAATATATAATATATATTTCTTAATTTATAATCAAATATTATATATTTTATTTCACTGTATTTTATTTTATAATTGAATCTATATTTTAATTAATTTTAACTATATTATAATAATTTTGAATTATATTATAATATAAATCTTGATATTTATAAATTAAAAATTAAAAATTAAAAATAATGAATATTCATTGAGATATTAACATTTGAAGTTGACTGTAATTGATTTACAAAGGCGAGCGTTGGGTGGAAACTAGCGTTAGGTGGTTGATTACGTTATTCATCCAAGCACTCGCCTACGTCCACTCACATAAAGGTTAAATTCCAGATGAAATTAATTATACAGTACTATAATTCATTAAAAAGGGGTTGGAAAAATAGGGGTAGCATTGAAATATACATGGCAATTGTGTTACATCCGGGTAAGACCCGAGAAGACTTAGGGTCATGGCGCCTAAAGCTTGGTTGTCGAAGTTAGTTGTGAGACCCTATAATTGCCACCAATGAAATTCACAGTTGGGGTGTGGTTTAGTGGCCCAGGGCCTAAAGGTTGGTTAGCAGGCCCCAAGTAAACCCACCCCTCACTTAGGGGACTTGCCAACTGATATGTACTACATAAATTTTTCGCCCCACGTTGAGTAAAAGAGAACGACAATGCAGCCATTTCAGAAGACGGTGACTGGTGGGCTTCTGATGAATACGATGCATTCAATTGGTTACTACCATCCCAGGTTGCTGAAATTTGGCAAAGTTTTTGGGCGCTTACCAAAGCGGGTGTACGCTAGATACATTGACCATATTTTAGGGACATGAGGGACGATGCCCGAAAATCCAGAGCATTTGATTGCCACTTCTGTTATGCTTCAGTTTACCCTCTCTAACTCGTTGACAATGGGCACCTGCAGAGGGATTTGGTTATTCCTCTGGCATGAAATACATCTTGAGACAAAGAGGACATCCTGACAGGTGAAAGTTGGCCTTGGGGCTTTGTACAACTTTTGGTCTTAATGACCTTGCACAACACATAATATTATGATCAATTTGGAGACTTTGAAAGGTGGAAGTGCTCGTAGAATGAGAGCTTTCAAGGCTTTGTATCACAGAGTTTGAGGAACTCTATGGAGGAGGACATGGGAGTTTCGAATATTGGCGTCTCACAATTGGGTTTCTCACTGACACAAAAAGGCTGTAAAAGAAATTTTCAAGGACTACCTTGCTCTGCGTAGGCGAAGTGGTAATCCGAGGAACCCGAGGCGTAAAAACAATTTCCCCCTAACCCCCCTGCCTATCCAACTTACACCCGCCCGAACCAATCCCTAACAGCCTTCATCCTTGAACGCAATGAAAGAACATTGCTAAATATACATATCTTTGAACTGAGGTACATGTACTGTACAATGCATTGGGCCAATTGGTCTTGTGGTTATAAAGCAAGCCAATAGCTTTCACTTCGAGGGGACATCTCACCGGCAAAACTTGGGCTGTAGTCGGTCTGGAGACCGGATCTGCACGACTTCATGATGATGTGTGTCTCTAGAAGTGATGTCGCGAGTACATCGGAAAATCGCTTTGCCATGGACGCTCTTTGTGGATAACATTGGCGGAGTGTCGATTTCGCCCTCATTTCTGTCTTAATTTTGTCCCAGAACGCTTCACTTGGTGCACTGAATAAGGTATTCCGCGCAGTCTGTAAGCTGCTGCTCTGTGTGGTGATATCTGATTCTTGGCTGGCGAAATCAAATTCGAGAGCGTGGAGATTCTTCCACTTGACTGAAATGCCGTGTGTCCATCTCCCTAATGGGCCTTCGTTGAGGGTAGAAGGATGGCGTGGTGTGGTAATTGGCACCTAGAGCCTTGGAGAGATCCAGTACCCAAGCAAAAACCCCTGGGTCCTTCCATGAGCGTAGGATAGTAGGATTGGCCCAAACACAGAGATCCCCTGTTTTCCACCTCCTCGCCCATTGGCCATGTCATACATCTCATCACCAAGGTGTGAGGAAGAAGAAACATGAAAAGGAGGTGCCAGCTGCGGTTGAAGCTTTAAGATTTCACCCAGGGTTACCGTTTCTGGGAAAGTTAAAAGGGGTCCACAGGTGGCAATTTTCAAAACCTCTGGACAAGATATTTTTGTCAGTTATTATGATACGGGAGGTGCGGCATTCCAAGTCCTTGCACACAACAAGAAATTTTTATGGTAAGTATGTTACATCCCAGTGCCCCAGACCCTTGATGCCTAAGGCATGAATGTCAAGTTGGACATCCAAGGCCCTGGAAAATAAGTCCCTACACAGGCTAGAAATTATATGGTAATCATGTTACATATCCAAAAAATTGATCAAGGCTTGTTGCCTGAAGCTTGGCACCACCCCATATCTTCTCCGATGAAGACAGGATTCGTTGGGGCAGCAGTATTTGAGATTTCCATTTATATTTCTAACATATGCAAGGACTTATTCTCCACAACGCCGTGCTACTGCTAGCTGGAATCATGATTATTCATAGTCACGCAGTACCAGGTTTCAAATTTGAAGGCCTCAATATTTTTTTTTCCAGGTCGAAGTGTCAAAATATGGTTAAGCTTAAAAGTCAAAAGCCTTGCTCGTGGCATTTAAACTTCGCTTGGCTGATGTCATAGTGAAAAAGAAGTCGACGAACGAGGCAACCGCGCAAGCGACTAATTAGGGAAAGAACTGGGGCAACGACCACACGTGAGAAGTCCGAGGGTTTTAGTTCCAAGGATACGTGAAAACAGAAACACGTCAGGAATCACGCTCCAACTCGGGACTGAGTTTGCCGCCGCCAATTTAACATTGGCACGTTTCACCCTAGGTAGAACCATGGATGCTTCTATTGCGTGATATGCACGACATCATTTGCTGCTCGTTCCCCTTGGATCGGGTATTGGCCGTGACTCGGTGAATATAAGAAGACGGTGATCTTCCCTCGTGAACATAAAAAATTTTCCTGAATTCGCTATACTCTTTCGAAACTCATTATTTCAAACCAAAATTGACTTCCTAGCTTGGGCCATTCGAAGAAACCGGTGCGGAATCTTATATGATGAGTTGGTTAGAGCACCCACCTTCTCACCGACATAGACGATTTGCGCTTCTACCGAGCGGTGTTTGTTTAACTCCCGAAGAGGAAGCACAGATTGTCAGTCGAACCGGGAGAAAGCCCATACCACCACCAGACGTGCTCAGACAGGCCTGGCTATCTGGAAAATATAATGATGAGGAAGAGAACAAGGTCAAAAGCAGTAGCAAGATGCGGGAACCTGAGAATCACTTGTTACGAGGGACGGATTGCCGGCAAAACCATGGAGAAGACGAGGAAAACATCGCAAACAGTCAACGCAACGACTTTGTGATTCGTAGTCCAAGTCCAAGTAGCGGAGAGATAGCCGACGCGATCCCTGCGAAACTGAAAATGTCACCAATGAAATTGTCCAGTAACGAAGCTGGTCGTCTTGCAGGGCAATTCTCTCTCGTACAGAGAGCAATCAGCTGTTAACCCCGTCGGTTCGCCCTCTTGGTTCGTTATGATTTCCGGCTGGGGTGGAGCGTGGAGTGTTGCACATCCAGATACCCAGGACTCTACTCACTAAAATGGTTCCGCTTTTGAGGGTGCAACCAAGGGGTGATAGCAATGTTTACCCTCTGTATCAGCGGTGGCTTATAATCTTTGGCTAGAAGCTAGTTTTTGTTTCCTTATCCCTCATCTTCATCTTTATTCTTTTTTAGTTTCATAATATTTTCAAATCTTTGGTTTTTGATTTCTTGATAGAGATACTATTATCGATATTCATGTGCCTTTTTGTTTTGTAAAAACCGTGAGCGGTTGCTAAGCGCCGGCGTTGTTGAAAAATTCTGCTTGGTTTCAATGTGCTCTCTGCTATTAGAGCATATATTAAGAAATATCCTGTAATATTAATATACGAGGCAGTAGCCCATCTTGATAGTGGCCATGAATGCATTGAATAATTTCTTTCTGGAGGCGTAGTGTCAGGTACCTCTTATTCCTAAATTCTAT